GGCGGGGGCGGGAAGGGGAGCGAGCCCTGATAGAGCGAGCCGAGGGTGGGCTGCTCCCCGTGGCTGTGCCTAGCCCAGGCCCGTGGAGACGCTGCTGCTTCCTGGTGACCGGAAGGAATTCTTGCTCACTGGCTGGGCTCCTGGAGTCTCAGGCAGGCCTTGGAGGAGCAGAGTGGAAAGGACTATACCACACTACAGAGACTAGCAGAGATGAAGTCACTGGAAAGCGCTCCCCAACCGCACTGTAACACACACCCCCAGCCCCGCATTGCTGAAGCCCAGATTACACGGTTCCTGTGTGCGGGCCAGACACGGAGCTCCGTGCAGGCCAGGCTGAGTCCCGGCACCTAGCTCTGGCCTGGCACAGAGCGGACCTTCCAGACAGCGCCCGGCGCATGGGTAGCAGTAAGCCACTTGGCCTCAGCCACCCAGTGCACAGTGGGTTTGGCCTGAGTAATACCCCCTCTTGGGTCTAGCAGGTGGCATAATGGTTACATTGCTAGACTCCCACGTAGTTGACCGTGGTTTGAGTCCTGGACCCGGCTGCTTAAAACTCATGCTGGGTGCATGTGTGTACATGCCTAAAATCCCAAGAGAAGGATAGGGGAGAAGGGGTTGTGGTATGGGTGACCTCTCTGTCTCTGATAAGCGCACATGCCCTATAGCAAAAAATCTCTCAGAAAAGAAAGGAAAAAAAAAATACCCACTCTGGGGCCAGCAGATGGCATGGAGGTTAAGGCGGCCTGATCCCACATGGCCGACTGTGCGATTCAAGTCTCAGACCTGGAAGCTTGAAAATCACACCAGACGCAGGTGCATGCGTACCCCAAATTCCCAGAGAATAGAAAAGGGACTGCCATTAGCCATCCCCCCTGGGGGTGAGTTCTCACTTTCCCTTTCTCTCTAGAAACAGATAAATCTACTGTGGGCCGCGAGGTGACCACCCACCCAGCCATCACCCTGGTGACTGCCCTTCCCTGGGAGGTAGGCCTCAGTCACCTGGTTCCCCTGCCAGTCTGGTTACACCCTCAGTTCTCTGTAGTCCTCAGGGGTGGGCCCAGGCCCTGCCCCTGCCCCACACTCCTCCCACCTCCCTCCCTGAGTGACAGTAGCCATTCCTATGGCTTCCCCTGGCATCTGTGCTGAATCCCCGTCCCTCTCCTGCCCACCCACTTCCCCTAAGCCAGGAGCTGCCCAGCCAGCTGCCACCTCCTTTCAGAACCCCTCCTCCCAACCCCAGCCAGCATCCTGCAGGGGTGTGGCCAGACAATGGGCTAAGGAGAGGAGGTGAGGCCCGCCTGCTGGAGGGACCAGTGATTCCAGGTCACCGTGGGGGGGTGAGAAGGAGGAAAGGTGCACTGGCTACAGGAGTCGGGCCGAGGGAAGGGCATGGGTGGGAGATGAGCACCGAGCCCAAAAGGGGCGGAAGCCACCACCACGGGGACAGGGGCATGGGTGGAGGGGAGCCAGAGCTCACCCTCATCCTTCAGAGTCACATGTCTCCTCTCTAGGCTGGGTGAGAGCTCTTGGCCCAGGCTGGGGCCCAGTCAGTATCAAACAGCTGGTTCAAAGCCCCACTCCACCACTTCCACCTCTGGGGCACTGATGCCCGGCTCCTCGCATTATTCTGTGAGATTAAATAAGAGCCACTGGGCCTTCCTTTGCCTGTCCACCCTCTGAAGCAGGACGGAAGGACTTTGCGCTCATAAGCATTCCCCACTGCCTTCCCGTCTGCCCTAGCCAAGCCCTTTGGGGCCCCAGTCCACGGGGCACCCACCCATCCACCAAGTAGGCATCCAGAATTCCTTTTCCATAGAAGACTAACGCTCCTGGGAGCTTGTAGGAGCGCCTCGGACTAACCCCCATGGAACTGGTTACTTGGGACAAGTTATTTTTCATTAAAAACTGAGCAGATGGTAATAGTGGTTACATCACTGGACTCCCACATGGTCGACCGCAGGTCAAGTCTCAGACGGGGGCTTGAAAATCACACCAGGTGCGTGTGCATGCGTGCCCAAGATCCAAGGAGAATGGAGAAGGGATTGGGGCGTAGCCATCCCCCCCGGGGGGGTGATCTCTCTCTCTGTTTCTCTCTCTCTCTGTCTGATGAGCACACATGCTCTAAGGCAAAAATCTCTTTAAAAAATTGATACGATAATGCCTCCCAACAAGCCCGGTGAGACGCTCTCCCACTCTCGTCCCACCGCCCCAAGGAAACCGAAGCATGCACAGAACCGGCGTGGAACCGGCGTGGAGAATGTTTGTGTATCTTTTGGGGAATATGGTCTTGGTTTAGACCAAGAAGGAGTCGCTCTGTCTGTTCCGGTTTCTGTGAAGGCTTTCTGAGAATGATTACATAAACTACCAAGTTTGAAGGACACATGGGGGCCAGCCGGGTGGTGGTGTGGTTAAGGCAGCTGGGTCTCCCATGGCCGACTGCGTGGCGAGTCCATGCCCAACCACTCGAAAAACATGCTGGGGAAAATAAAATGAAAGACATGCCCGCATGTGGGCATGTGTGCCCAGAAACCCCGCACCAGGGAGAAAGAAGGGACAGGAGCAGAACCACCCTCCCCAGGGGTTGCTTTCTCACTCTTATCCTCTCTCTCCCTGGCAAATACACATGCCCTCTGGCAAACTGGAAAAGAAAGACATTTTATTAATATAGTGATCTCTCCCCACTGCCCATAATGGGGCACCAGATACTCTGAAGTCCAGGACCCAGATGACACAAACTGGGCCACCTGCAGCGAAGTGGAGCTGCCCACGCTGCAGCGGCCACTCTGGCCACAAAGACCTGCGCACAGAGCTGGCAGCACCCCATCCCAGAAGTCAGCCCTGCTTCAAGGCCTGGTTTCAGCCTGGCCAGGGTTTAATCCTGGCCCCCTTCCTGGGCACTTGGCTGGCTGTAGGAGTCAGGGAGGGGGCGGCTCCATGGAGGGTTCCAGAGCGGCCTCGTAGGGGAAGCTCTCCCCAGGCCTCTTGGAGTCCAGGTCATGGAGGGCGCAGAGCTGCACCCCGTCCTGGGCAAGCCGGGCGCGCAGCGTGGGTGCAGTGAGGACACGCAGCTCATGCAGCCGCTCCCAGGAGCAGGAGAAAGCGTCGGGGCCCTCCCCGCAGCCCCCAATTGGGGGCACGCTGGGGTAGCCCGGGTGCGTCATCAACTCAGCTGTCAGGGTGTGGCCGGCTGGGATACCCTCCAGGGCCCGCGCCAGCGCCCCCATCACGCGGTGAGCAGACATGTGGCGGCCGCAAGTGCTCATGCCCACGAAGGCCTCTGTCCACCTATGGGACAGGGGCATCAGCGGCGGGGCTGGGCGACGTGCAGGGCTGGCTGGGAGCAGGGCAGGGGCAGAAACTGACACACAAGCCCCAGGAGCTGGGCCGGGGGAACAGGGAAGGGGTAGGGGGCGGGGGCGAGG